CTGAAGGTTAAGGGCTCAGTCCCACAAGACTACATTCCACTTCAGATGACAGTCGCAAGTAGTAGGTCCCCAGATTACCACAACTTCTGTCCAACTTCGCTACAAATCAGAGGTTCCCACCACCCCCTCTTTGGATTTGATCATTTGTTAGAATAGCTCAGAGAACTTAAGGAAAGACTTACTTATGTTTACCAGTTTATTATAAAATAAAGGATATGATAAAGGATACAGATGTACAACCAAATGAAGAGGTATATAGGGGACCATCTGGAGGGGTCCCAAGTGCAGGAGCTTCATTCGCTGTGGAGTTGGGGTTCATTACCTTCCTGGTACCTGGATGTATTCACCAACTCAGAAGCTCTCCAAACCCTGTACTTTTGGGATTTTTATGGGGGCTTTATCACATAGGCATGATTGATCATTAACTCGATCTGCAGCCCTTCTCCCCTTCCTGGAGGATGTGGGAGTGGGGCAGAAAGTTCCAAGCTTCTAATTATTACTTTGTCTTTCTGGTTACTAGCCCCCATCCGGGAGCCCACCAAGAGTCACCTCATTAGAAAAAAAGATATTTTTATCACCCAGGAAATTCCAAGGGATTTAGGAGCTCTGCGTCAGGAACCAGGATCAAAGACCAAATATTAGAACAGAAGATGCTCCTAGTGCTCTTATCACTTAGGAAATTACAAGAGTTTTAGGAGCTCTATGCCAGGAACTAGGGACAGAGACCAGTATATATTTTTTCTATTATTTCACAATATGTAATTTTAGGTTGCCAGTTATTTTCTGTTAGCACTTTAAAAACATTATTCCACTGTTTTTGGCCTAGCAGATGATCTATCTTGGTGATAGTTTCTGATGAGAAATCTGCAGATATTTGAACTATTGTTCCTCTTGAAGATAGGGACCCTGTCTTGGATCTTGTTCATCATGACCTAGCACAGTCCCTGATACATAGTACAGGTACAATAAATGTTTCTGGAATTGAATTTATTTGATTGTATTACATTTTTAGTAAGTTAATATAAAGATTAGATAGGCTTATTAGGGTTCTATTTTGGCAGGATCTGAATTGCCCAATAGGTGTCACTGCTGGTATAATTTATAATCCAAGATCACTTTACTAGACATGAATAAACAGACGTAAGAAGGCAAGTGTCACCACTTTTCTGAAATGGTTCTCTTCTTCCATTTTTCCTTAGTTACTTGGCTTCCTTTCTATGTAAAAAGGAGACTGGAGGCAGTAGATGTTTTTCAAAGCTTTTTTCTCCCTTTTCTTTTGCATAGAAACTACTCATCATTTTATAAAATAATGGACAGTTAAGGGACATGCAGAAAGAAATGAGCCAAAAAGTGATCTGGGAGAGTTCTATGGTTTATAACATTACATTTGATGTTTAATATCTACAGAGAGAATTAAATACAGCAGAGATTTCCTTTTGAAGCTCTCAAGTGTTTCCATCTGCAGAAAAAAACCAGACTTTCTGCCTGATCATCCCATTGTACTTCAAAAACCAGTAAGTAGTTTTCTAATTTTGTATTATTTTAATTCCAAAATATGCCTTTAATATTTTCATTTGATTCTAAAATGTCTTTAATATTTTCAGTTGATTATCTTTCTAGATTTTTCATCTTTCTCATTGTGAAATATAATTCAGAGAAGTACATAAATCTAAATGTATAATATTACCAGTTACTGTTTTACCACTCTGGTCAAGAAACAGAATGGAATATTGTATTTTATTTGAGAAATATTTTTCTATTGAAAGGTCATGAAAGAGCATTCCATATTATCTTTTAAAAGTTCTGTTTGTTTTTTAATTAAGTTTTATAATCCACTTGGAATTGATTTTACTGTATGATGTGAGGGTAGGGATCAAGTTTTATTTTTTCCCACATGGATATCCAGTCATCCTATATATTGAAAGGATAGTCTTCTGCCACTTTTGTGGCAATATATATGTGGTCTGTTTCTGGGCTCTCTTTTGTTCGGTTAGTCTTTTTACAGTAAAGCAAGTCATCCCCCTTATTCTTCTTCAGCTTTTCTTTGCTGTTCTTAGCCCTTTATATTTCTGTGTCACTTCATCAAACTCCACCAAAATAAATACAGTAGTCTTTTTTTACATGTATCTTTTAGGTCATTGATTAGAAAGGACAGAGTTTTGGCATCAGGCTTAGGTTCAAGTTGCAGCTCTACTCTGTGTACTGGTATACCAATCAAACTTACACAAGTCACTTAACCTTCTTGAGCCTCAGTTTTGCCATGGCAGATAAGGATGATAATCTCCAGTTGCTAGGATTAAATGAAATAATGTATGAAAATGCTTAGTTTGGTACATACTTCTCTTTATTCACTCAGTAAATATCGATTTCCATCTTATATGGTCTTTACTTCCATTCTGACTGGAATTTGACTTTCTTTTATTTAGAGTTTTCATAAACACTATTTTATATAGGTAAAAGCAACTAGGATTCTATTGAGATGAGCTCAGAATATAAGTATGCTGAGAATGGCTCAAATATGAGATATAGACTACCACCTGTGTTCTTCATTTTTGGGATTTCTAACCTTTTGTAATCCATAGCCTTTTTTTTTTTCTTTATAGTTTATATCAGTGTTTCTCAATTTAAACTACCTAACTTAGAGATAGCCAGCCCAGGTGGTCTAGTGGTTAAGATTTGGTGATTTCACCACCATGGCATGGATTCATTTCCCGTCAGGGAACCACACCACTTGTCTGTCTCTTGGTTGTCATATTGTGGCAGCTATGTGATGCTGAAAGCTGTGCCACTGGTATTTCAAATACCAACAGGGTCACCCATGGTGGACATGTTTCAGTGGCACTTCCAGACTAAGATAGACTAGGTAGAAGGACCTGGCCACTCATTTCAGAAAAAACTGGCCATGAAAACCCCACAAATAGCAGCAGAGCATTGTCTGATATAGTGCTACAAGGTGAGAGGAAGGCGCAAAAAGACTAGGCAGGGTTCTGCTGCTGTGCACTGGGTTGCTAGGAGTTGATGGCACTAAGAGCAAGTTGCAGTCATTCAGCCAATTATTCTTTTTAAAATGAAAGCAGGAATTTAAGTTTTTTTCATAATACCTTGCACACAGGAATATTTAATGAAGAAAAACGTCCTTGATGTTTGAATTTTTCCACTAGTTCAGGGAGCTTAGGGGCATATGATCCTTGGTCTGTAAGAATAATCTAAACTTCAATGCTATATAAATATAGTCATTTTTTCATTTGCAGACTTTCCATTTCTAATAACATTTTATTTTGTAAATAAAAGTTCAACATACACATTATTTTGAACAAACTTTATAAATTAGAATTCAGTTTACTTTTGATTTATGCATTAACATTTTTTAAAAACTAGGTACCACAAAACAGAACAAGCTTGGAATATAATCTAATATATTTAAAAATGAATTACCTATGTTTTATTAAACATGGAAAAACTTTTATTTGACACATTTCAGTTACTTTAATAGTTTCTATAGTAACATGCATTTGGATTTGTAAACACTTAGTAGTGTCACAATATTCAGTTTGATAAACTAATTAGTAAAAACTATTTATTCAATCTAATTGATATATTAACTTTTTTCTGTATTACAGGAAAACAACCAAAATTTTAAGTAGCATTTTAAGAACAGATGAATTTGAAGATAAAGAATTATTCGTTTTATATTTTGGACACCTACAAATGAAGTGGATCTAGTAACAATAACTGTAACGAACTGTGACAATTCAATTTATTTTTAATTTTGATGGGTATTTGGTTTCTCCTAAAATGAGAGATATTTTAAACTATAAAGAATTTTATAATCAGTTTCAACTTTGCAGGCAGTTTCCTGCATAAATTGGGAAGTAACACTGGAAAGTAAGAATTTGGTTAAGTGAAGTGGGAAGACTGTGTATTTAAAATTTGCATGCTACTTGCAATTTTTTGTTTTTCATCACTTGTAATAATGGAATGGAAATGTAAGCTGTAAAGATTTTCAAATATAAAGTATTTGCTACGATGTATATATGGTACATAATTTCTTGTTGCTTCTAAAGTTGCTTTTGTTCTGTTTCCCACTGATTTCATTAGCACTTGAAAGGATCTTTATAATCTTTTCAGAGGCTTAGAACAATTCAGGATGTTCAATGCATAGTTCTCAATGACAGAAGGGAGAATATTTTAATAGGCATTTCTTTTCAAATACATGATTGATCTCTAGTTTTTTGATAATAACATTGTCTAAGATTCATTATTACTAGCAGAGATTGACAATTTGGAAACAATAGTAGTGAATGAAACTGAAGGTGAAAAATAGCTGCTACGTGTGTTACTAATCAGACCACGTGAACTGTAGAAGTTGAACAACTGCAAAGTAAAACTGGTATTTTTATTTCCAAAAGAGGAAGAATTTAGGCATTTGCAAATAATTGAGGTGCATTAAGTTTCAATTCTATAATTTCTTATAACAAGAACATGGATGGATGAAGAATTTTTGGGTTTAAACTTTTAGCTCCTAGAAATTTTATACAATAAATCTCCTGCACTTTGTCGCTCTGGATGTTACTGTTATAAAAAAAAAAATTCTTCCAGCACAGTGTCAAAAAAAATTGCTGATATAAAAGGTAAGTGTAAACTCTCTCTACTTCTGTTCTCTCAGATTCTCTCAGATCTCTGGGTCTGTTGGCAAGGCATTCAAGACCATCATTTGAGAGGAAGTTTATCTTAAGCTGAATTCTGAACTCCTAAAGCTAGCACATTTTCCCTCACTGGTCTTTGGGCTTATTACCCAGATTGAAGCTTTAGTCTATGGTAGGTTTCCCAGCTTGGTCTTTTAGTACTCTACTCTTCATTACTTTGTTCTCAGGAAAAATAGATTGTTTTTTAAACAGAAAAGAAAACTTCATTAACCATAAATTTAATGGTTACTTTCAAATGAGATATTTATACCTAGGGCCCAGTTTTTTCATTTATTTTTTGCCCTATTTTCCCTTTACATTATAAGTTGCAGTCTATGTATGTTTGTGAGTATACACATTCCCACACACATACACAAAAATATATGTATAATTTTAGATCTAGGGTCATCTCAATAAAAAAAAAACGTTTTAAACCTGGGGTCAGAATTGCCATATAATTCCTATCCTCAAGGTCTTTTGATTCTGGTTAAAAAAAATGATAGAACCTATTCCAATTGGGAACCTAAAGAGCCCTTCCACTTAGCACTCTTACTGAGGGCAGAACCTTTCAAAGTCATACCCCCATGCTGCTTTGGAAATTGCCCAGTACCTGAAAGACTTGATGTAATTTCTGAATCTGATGCTTGAAATGGACTGGCCAGAATAGTTTTGATTGGCTATAATTTTTACTTTCAAAATTATTTATAACCATTTTCAAGAAGAGTTTGTATGTCAAAAGTCCCCTAGGTTTCAAAGTCTTTTGATCCTTTCTTACAGTATATAATCAGAATGAGACTACAAAGACTATTTTATTATCTATTTGCCTTTGTACATATGTATAGCTTGTTTGAATAATCATTGTATATCTCCATTAATGTTGTTCTTTGCTTTATATACAAATTAAAAGAGTTGAGCCAGGTGTTGTTTCATAGTGTTTGTCATCTTTAGAAATCACCAGAGACACAGATGTGTGTGTGTATATATGTGTCAAAATTTACTATCTATGTCTAGTAGAAGCTATGAAAAAAATAATTTTATTTAGTTTGAATGGGGCTGGAGCTTATATGAAAGTATTGATAAAAGTTAATATTCCATAAATTAGTTCTAGAAAATATTTTAGGTCAGATTTTATATTTAAAAAATAAAATTTTAGTTCAAGCTTTCCTTTCTTCTGAGTTTTCAAACAGTAAAAAGACAGGAGAAATTTACTTCACATTTTTCCTGGAAAACATGTGGTTTCAAAGAAATTTGGACTAGAGAATAATATGGTAACAAATTGTATATGCATTGTATTTTCATTAACAGTGTTTATCATCAGAGTAGATTTTATTAAAAAGATTTATGAGCGTGTACAGCAGAGTATATAAGGTACATAGTTTTAGTTGTTCTGGCGAAACTAGGATTGTAGTCATTCTAGTGGTGAAACTGGAAGATGGATGTTTTCTGTCCAGTACTTCCCTACTATTTTATTACTTCCCTAAAGTTTTATGCTTGTTATATATTTATTCTTTGTTCACTCAGGTTAAAATTTTGTTTTCAAAGTATTTTGAAATTGTTATTTAAATGCAAGTATCTTTTTCATAAGAAAAGTTAACCCTCTGGATCACCTCTATCCTCTCTGGATGATATGCCATAAAATTTGAACCAAATTTTCTCAAAGTAAAACTCTCTCTCTCCCTGATTTGTTTAACTTACATACAGGGAATTATAATGCTAATAAATGATATAATGGTGCTACCTTACTAAATCGTACCCTATCTATCACAGAATTGTTCACTGTGAAAAACCAGTTTATAACCTGACAGATGGATAGAGATTCTATAGGTTACATCCAAGGTTGTTTTAGGTTCATGTATTGTTTTTTAGCTTAAACAATAGGAATTTATTTTCTCACAGCTCTAGAGACTAGAAGTCCAAGGTCAAGGTGCTATCAGGGTTGATTTTTCCTGAGACCTCTCTCCTTGGCTTACACTTGGCCACTTTCTTACTGTGTCCTCACGTGGCTTTTTCTTCGTGTATGTGTATCCCTGCTGTTTCTCTCTCTGCATATAAGGACACCAGTCATATTGGATCATGTATTAACTTTTTAAGTAATGTAAAGTAAATAGTCATAGGATCACAAGTTGGAAATGGAGTAGGCATTATTGAAGAATAAACTCACAGAAAATCAGTTAGGTAAAAATCAGAAAAACATTGCTTTAACCTTTATAGTTTATGACACATCTACAAAAGCTGTCCTATGAATAATCTAAAAGTTCCCACGTTAAATTTTTCCTTATCATAACAATTTCTTTTTCACAATTTTGCTTCTTTACGTGTACACTGTTTTCACATATTAGGATTTTGTGACTAAAGGGTTTTAGGTTATAATGTAGCAAAACAGCAAATATTGAGAATAATAGTGAACTTTGAAAATTGAGCTAAAATTCACATGAAAGGTAAAGTTACAGAAGACATTTTAGAAGAATACACATCTTAGAGTAAATATATTAAAAGCATAGAGCAGATGAATAACTATAGAGAACTTTTTAATTCACATTTTAGATAATACTTGTTTTGCACTTGGAACCCAAGAAAAATGTCTAGGAACATCTAGTTGTTGTTCAGGATCCACCATGAAGCTGAAAAGAGAGAAACAATCTTTTAAATAACAAAAGTAACTTTCAGGCTAGTTAAGTTCAAGTTGCGAATCATTCTTAAAGAGACTATTTCCCCCATCTTTAATCTGCAGAATTACTTATCTTTCTAGTCACTATCTCCTGACTATTTGAGCCAATATTGAACGCTTCCTATGCCGTTGTTATTTGTACCATCTCTTCTGGTACCTGGTCATAGTCTAAGTAGGAATTTTGTTATACATGAATAAACCTTGTTTTGGCAATACGATTATAAATGCCCTGAAGATAAATCATGTAGTGTTTTAATCTACCTCCGTACTGGCAGTAGTTTGGAAACATAACATTACATACTGATTTCAGAAAGATTGGGTATAAGCAAGTGGATCTGTTTTCAATAATATTTTTTTTAGTACATACTATAAAATTGGAAATTATTTTCCCCAGTGGATATAAATAACCCAAAGAGAAACCTATGGCAAAGAAGTAACATTGGTGGAATGCTGTGACACACAGACAAATGGAAAGGATTAAAATTTGTTTTCAAAGCTGTTTAAATAATACACTGACTATCAATAGGATCTTACTTTCTTGTGTATCTTCTTTTCCCATAACCGTAGATAGGCCTTTCCCCTTTGCCAAGGGATATTCTGCTCCACAGACTGAATTCTCATACTCTTTTTGTCTGGGTGGTTTATGATGGGTAATGGGCTTAGGCTGCCATATTCCAGTATGCCTCATCTGAATGATTTTTACATTTGAGATTTCACAGGAATGTATTTTGGTTTGTATTTTCATATCTGGGTGCAGACTGGCTTAATTGCTTTATTTCTTAAGATGTGTCTTAGGTGAACCACTTAGGAATCTTCAAAAAGGCAATCTCATTAGAAATCATAATTTGTGAGCTAAATTAGAAATACAAACCTACTCATCCTGTTTCTAAATGTAATAGCTTTTTCCTTTCAGATTTTAATTTTAGGTCTAAATATGTGCAGCTAAAACGTTTTTGTTATTTTTAGCCTTTATAATTGTATAACACACAAAATGCACAAAACTAGTTATTAAAAATATTAGAAGTCATATGACCATTAAAACTGTAAGTAATATTTATAAGCTAATTCAGCTTCTTGTTTAGGGAGGTGTGTCTGCTGTTGCAATTATGAAACTTTAACTTTAAAATAGAGTAGGATGCCCCAATAGAGGTTAAAATATTATTTGAGGTAGGTTTAAAAAATTGTGTTAGAAATCAAGCCTAACTTTCCTTTGTGTTCTGTCAAATTCCAGTGGTTATTGTTGAAATTAGATGTGATATGAAGATTAATGTAAAATAAGGTAGCAATTAAAAGGTATGAAATTGTATTGAATTAGAGCTCGGAGAACAAGAATTGATCCAGTTTTATTTATGCTCAGTTTTTCTCTCTAAATTATGAAATTCTCTGAAAGAATAATATAATGCATGTAACAGTGACACTAATATTGCATAGAAAGTTAATCCAAGATGAAGTAAAGTTGGGCCAGAAAAATCAATCAAGTTACTATAAATGACCTAGTCTTGCTATGGTAATTTTTCCTATTAACTCATTAGCCTCCCTTTCTGTACTCTTTCTATTGTATTCTTGTTAAGTGTTTTCTGTCCTGGAAAAATTCAAAACACCAGTAAGAACAAGCTTCCTCCTTTGCTTCTACATTGTTGAATCAGTTTCAAGATAAGGACAGTTGAAAATCACTATGATGGCGGACACAAAATCTACAAGTGTCAGGACTTCTTGGGAAATTGTCATGACTGAATACCACTGGTGTTTATGATGACATCAAAGTCCTTATTCATTCCTTCATTTAGGAAATATTTGTTTCCTTGTGCCATACACTATACTAATACTGCATTAGTGTAGGGGATGTGAAGATAAATAAGATGTGGATCTTCCTTTCCTGTATTCTATGCCCGAAGCCTGCAGCAGTCATATTTACAGAAGTTATGTTCTAGTTCTTTACTTCCCATTTATAACAGACTGTTCAAGTCTGGTATAATAGTTGAGCTAAAACTTTTTTGGGTAAATTCAAGGCAGTCATTGAAGTCTCTTCCTTAACAACCTGTGCTACCACACTTACCTGCAATTTTCCTGAAGCTATAGTGCATCCTAATTTAAACTGCATGAGTCAAACTGTGAATCACAAGAAATTTCAACCATATTCATGGCTTTCTTATTTAAGGATTTAAGTCTGAGATATACAGCGAGAGAAATTTTACAAGTCTACCATTTTTAGGCCAGACAAACCTGTCCTTAAGATCTAAGTAAATACATAACTAGAGCTCAGGCTGAAACTCTTAAGAGTCAGCCAACTTGAAAGCAGTCACACCTGATCTCCCCCATCTTGTCACCTAGGTTCAATTTCAGAATTTACTTTTTCACTTTACATTTTTCCCCAATCCATCAAAATCTACCCCAATTTTAAATTCCTGGTACTTTATTAAAACTGTTCCCTTGGACATTGACCTTCTTGTCAAATCCAATTTTCAGCCCCATTCTCTTTAGTCGTGCTCTACTACATAGGTCCCAGAGGAGTACAGTTCCTTGCATTTTTACTCCTCTTGGTTTCCTTGATACTCTACTACTATGATTCTCCTACCTCTGATTGCTTCTCCTCAGTCTCTTTAACAAAGAGGCTTTTCTCTCTGAAGCTTTTAAATAAAGGCATTTTCCCAGGCTTCTGTTAGATATTTTGTTCTTACCTATACACTTTCTCAACAATCCTAGGCTTCAGCCCTCATTTTGCTGTGGTTAACTCCTGAAAACTGCTTTTGCAGGGAACTCTCTGGGCAGCTCCTGGTTCAGATGACTTTTTTTTTCCTAGCCTAGATTATTGCCCTGCCTGACCAATCTCTCTCCTCTCCCTGACATCCACCTTTCTCCCTCCCAACACAGATACTACTATTTAGAGCATTCACTATCCCTTTCAAAAATCTTTAATGATTCCATATTACTGCAAGAAAGTTCAAACTCCTCGTTATGACATTTTCAACCTCATTTCATACTCTCTCCTCTCTCCACATGTACTATATACAAGCCTTATGCTTTAGTCAGACCCTTTGCACCAATTGGTCAAGCGCATTTAGCATTTCTTGCATTTGTTTGTGTCAACAATGTACTTCTACGGAAGTACCCTTCTTCTCCATCTTTATTGTCCAAATCTCGTCTCTTAAGGTCCAGCTCAAGGATCATCTCCTCATTAAAAACAAAGACGCAATCGCTTCTCTAAATCCAGATAGCACATTATGATTCTAATAACTACTATGTTATCCCCTGAGCTTGTTTTTTTTCCTGCAAACATCTGTCTTTCCTACTGGACAGAGAGCATTTTATGGGTAGGAACTGCATTTTTACTTTGTACCGTTTCTAGCTCCCAACACAATGCTTGTTCAAAATTGGAGCTCAATCAGTGCTAGTAGACAGGCTAAGCACCCCAGTAACCACAGTGCCTAGCACATATTAACACTCATAAACACATGTTTAATTGGTAATTGGTGGGTAGATGAACAAATGAATTTTCATTCTCAATTATCTTAAATAAGCTTTGGCTAGGCCAGACTTCTTAGACAATTTCATTTCAAATTTCTCTTTCCATTCTCCTTTCCCCCAATTACAAATAATAATTTAGCAGCTATTATAATAAAATTATTTCTAACATAAATCTAATCTCCAGTCTATGGGTCACATCTCAAATTTTATTCAATACACTGAATTATAATGTGGTAAAGTATTTGAATAATTTTTTGAAATATCATGATTTGACTTGTACTTCGAATTTGTTACAATTTTGAAGGTGACCAGCAAATGACTAATATTAGGTTTAATATAACCAGGAATACGGGTCAACTAAAGACTAAAGATGATAGAATATATAGATCTTGTTTCCTCCACCCACTCTCAAATTTTAAGATCTATAAAGAAATAATAGAGCACCATTGATAAAGTGTGGGGGGGAAGTACATACTAACTTTTAAAAAGTGAAAGACAATACAAAAGCACATAGAAGCATTGTGAACCCAGGATAATTACCAGGAACTAGCATAGTGGATGTGAGTTCTGGAGTTTCCAAGAAATCCACGTTACTTCTTTGAAATGTCTTGCTATAACTCGTCTGAAGGTGGCTGTATAAATAATTATAAGTTAAAGCTGTGCATTTTTATTACAATCTTGCTAAGTAGAGTACAGCAGAGTTCAAATTCAGTCAAGATGGCAAGGGTTTGGATGATTTGGATTAAGTGCCTGAATACAGACTTCTTTTTATGGTTATTTAGTCTTAAAAAGACTCAAGGAATTTAACAATTATCAGAAATATTAAAAAAATATTTTTAGAAACAGGGAACATTAATTCTCTTTAGAAGATAAAACAAAAGGAGATAAGCTTTAATTGTGGCAAGAAGTTTAAACAGAAGGGAGACTATCTTGGCTGTTGGTATGTTTAAGAAACAGGATAGCTAAGAAGAGAGACTATAGAATTTCCATCCCTACAGAGTAACAAGGAAGAAAAAGTCATCTGTCTTCAAGTGTAGGCCTGGAAGCACAGAGTTGAATAAGTTGCCTTTAAAGCTCCATCGTGCCTGAAATTCTATTGGTGTCATTATGCATTATAGCACAAAGTACCTTAAAATAGCCACAAAAATAAAACTTTTAGGTGAAGTACATATCAACTAAATTTCCAGGTATTCTGTTACTTCCATTACCATATTTAACACCCTAAATACGGGCTTATTGGAGAGCTATATTCTCTGTGCCATTTGAAACCAACTAGAACTATTTATATAATCACAGATTAGCAAAAATTTCATTCATCCTATTTTCCTAATTATATATTTGTTACTTATTAAACTTCAAAGAAGATTAGTTTTTTAACTCTATCGAGGAAAATTGACAAATATAGTTATATATATTCAAAGTGTACAACATGATGATTTGATATACATTATAAAATGATTACCAAGAGAAGTTGACTTGTTTTTAATTTTTTCCAGTGTCTTGAATTTCCCTTTTATTTGCACTGTTTAAAGACATTTAGAAAAGTTGTTGAACTCTGCTGATCTTAACCATTATATATAGTTTTATTGTAAAATAAAGTAATAACTGCAGAGCTTATGAAAAATTAGGAAGTAAATTTTTTTCTCATCCCTGCTTTTCTATGTCCTTTGTTCCTCCCACCGCCCCACCTTAGACACTCATGACCCATGTCTAAATCTTCTTACCAAAAAGTATCAGTAAAATGGTAATATTTAAGGTGGGATCATTACCAAAAGTATTTGTGCTTCAAGAGAAAAGTGGTTTCTAATCCATGAAATAAATTCCTAAAATTGTGGGATTTAGGAAAATGAGCAAATGGGACAGGTTTTAAGGTGAGGTAAAGGGAATGGGGCTTTTCCTCCAAGTCCTAAAATTACTTCATGTAATATTGCCACCTCCCTGGCAAAATAACCAAAAAAAAAAAAAGGCCTGCTGATAACTTACCTATTCCACACACTACTGTTCTCCCAGAACTCATAAATCATGTAGCGAGATTCATTTGTAAGCTTCTGTATAGAAATACTGAAATGTATAAAATGCATAATTAGCTACAGGAAATTAAAGACAAGAAGCAAACTAATTTTTCTAAAAATCTCTGTAGATGGTATGAAACAGTCTTATGCCTGCATGAAAATTGAAAGTTTTGTCAAGAATTGATTACTTCAATATGTCTGTCTGACACAATTTTTTAGGTTTCTGTTTTGCATCATGAAGACTGTCTCAGGATATTATAGACATCACAAATATAACTTTTGTAATATTTCATTTATTCATTCAGAAAGATTTATTGAGTATCTGCTGTGCTATGGTTCAGAAAAATTTGTGTGCCACCGTCCTTGCCCTCAAGTGTAGCTCTTTGGATTGATCCTGTCAACCTCCATAGCTCTTCCCAAACTCTTGGCCTTATCCCTATTCCCTGGATTGACAGCTTTTATTTGGGGTCCTGCTGTAAGCCATCTTAGTCACCTGGACCTCACTCCTGCAATACAGCTGACTCCTAGTTTGCCCAGTGGTCCTCTCCTTTCTCTTTTACACACACACACACCCCTCTCAACTTTCTGTCCAGATCAAGTTTGAGAGTCTGCATTCTGGCCATAATTTTTTTAATAGCTTTTCCAATTTAGGGAAGACAAATTTGTTTCTTCAGGCCCTTTGATTAGCCTGAGAATGGCTAAAGCCTATATGGTATGTTTTGGAGGGTTGAAATGGGTGGTGGTTGAAAAGACAAGTTGAGGTGAAGGCTGGATTTAATCCTGTAGCAATGAAGAACAATGAAGAACCACTGAAAGATTTAAAGCAGGAACAGTGTCATGGTTTTGAAAGATCTTTCTGATGGTGGTGTGAGGTATCCTATGGAGAACAGTACAAAGCAAGAATAAAAGCTAGAAAGGTGGCGAAATCACTTAGATGAGTGATGAAGATCCAAATTAAGGTAGAAAGAAAGGAGTAGGGGACAGATTCATAAACTTAAGTTAGGAGAATGGAACACAAATATAAAGATGCCTTTAAAAAGTTAATTCCACAAGTCCAGCTTATTCAGCCTGTTTCACAATATATTGAGATTAGAAATCAAAATAAGAGGTTAGAAAAACAAAAGATATTGATTTAATAGAGAATAACATGTACCAGTATAATAGCCAAGCCAAATGTAGATTTATGATTTACCTAAGCATGACCAGCAGGTGGTAGTAACTACACACAGAAATTTTAATAGTTTTTTCCTTTAGCTCTTTGCCTGTAAATAGTTTAGTATTTTTCATAAAATTGTTTATCTAGCTTGTTTCATTAAGTATGATGCAGCAAACACTGTTAGCTCAATTTCAGATTTTCTGGGGAAAAAGTTTATAATAGAATCAAAGGGAATTGAATAGAAAGTGAAATTGGAGATTTTCTGATCCCAGGAGTTCATGGATAGGCTTTTGCGGGGGCTTCCTTGAAATCCAGAAATGAGCTGCAAATTAAAGTGTGTATTTATTTTTTTCTAGGAAGAGAATCCATAGCTTCCATCATAGTCTCAAAGGGTCTGTAATCTTCAAACATAACCTGATAATGTAATGGACAAATTTCAATCCCTGACTCTTTTTTTTAGGATAAAGTTTAAAATACTCAGGCTAGCATTTTAGGTTCTTCATGAACTGCCTTCTACAAACTAATTCATTTGTACTACTTATCACATTAAATACCCACTTATCCTGCTACCTGAACCTTCCATTTTCCAGACTACCCATAAGACCATAAGAAAATCACAAAATTTTAGCATAATTCTTAAGCTTTTGAAGGATTGAAGAAGATATCACAGTGTGATAAGATAGTGCTTTGAAGTATGGCCTAACAGACTTACCTTCATCTACCACTTACTAGATTTGTTACCTTGGGCCCAGTACTTAACCTCATTTTCCTTATCTGTAAAATGGTGACAACAGTACTATGAGGATTAAATAAGGTGTTGCACATAGAATGCTTAGCCCAGTACTTGGCATATTGTGTGTGTGTTTAATTAGCTCAATAGCTAAAAAGAAAGCATTTTCACTGGGTGAGTAGTTATGAAAGCTAAGCCTTATGGTGTCAAAAACTGAGAAGCATGACAGAAGTAAAAGGCACAGGAGGGAAAAGAAAGTGAGGGAAAAACAGACATATCTGAAGACAATGAGAATCAGCAAGCCAATAATGATGATAATCATAGTTATATTACTATATGCATTAATAACAATGGTGATGATTGTTAACTGTGTTGCTCTGTTCCAGGGCCTGACCTATGCCTCTCCCATGGATTAAGTCATCTTACCTGCACAGTCACTCTGCGCGTCATGTGGCAGACTCTGTCTGTTGCCTCCCCAACTGTTACTCCCCTCTTTCTAACAGAACCCTGCCATCACTTAGTTTGCAGTATATTCAATGTACCAGTCAGTGCTCACAACCTCACTTCTTTCTGCTAGATACTTGTTTCCTAACCTCCCCTGAAGTCAGGAATAACCATGAGACTTGAGTTGGGCCAATGAGATGCCAAGGGAAATATGCTTGGAAGCAAGGGCTTCTGGGTAATGTTTGCATCCTTAGGCTCAGACATGAGAGGACGGCTCGTTGGTATAGTCTTCCTGACTGTAGGTTAGCTGGTAAAAAGCCAGATGGCAGAACTGAAAGAGACCAGTGCAGATTTTGTCTCAAAGGACATGGGTGAAAATGCTAACCAGAATTGTTCTACAGAGTGGATGCTTTCAGTTAAGGGCAAAACCAAACAATACATAGCAATGACATTTAAGGACATTTCTATTTGAGACTGTACAATACAGATAATGATAAATATGCAATGATGATACTGTAGAAAAGTTAATTATGAAGTAATTTCTAGACATATTTCTGTCAGCAATATTTCAGTTAAAAAGGCTTAGGGCTTGAATGATTAGCTTTCAATTATTTACAAACAGAATCATGTGGCACACCTCTGAGCTGTTCCTATGTGACTCTACTAACCTAAATACCTTCAGTCTTTTTCCTCAATGTGTTCACACTTCCCATGCCACTTAACACTCACTGGCTGAAGCAAGAGTTCTTTGGCTAAGCTGTCGCTGCATGCAGTCACTAAAAACTTCAGCCTTGAGCTCCCAGAGACCTTGAATATTTCCAGCAATTAGAAAATGTCAAATGGCTTCTAGGGGAAAAGGATGTGGCTGAAGAACAGTTGGGGTTAAAGATCTTACCTAAGGCAACTGGTTCATCATGGACAAAAGTCTCCTTTCCTCTTGGCTTCCTCCTTTCCCCACATGCCCTACCTTGTCATAGAGCCTAACCACTGGAGAAAAGGCACACCAGGAGGGACAGTCTCCACATTTCTCCACACCAAGCTCCAGCCACTAATTTATTTCATCTATATAAAAATGCTGCTAAATGATTCATGGTTCAATGTGCCATAGGTATCATTAGTTCTTAAGGATGTTCCTTTGGCCATGGTACAAGTCTCAGGTCGATTCTTATAATCCAGTGCCACATTCATGTTCCCTAGGCCCATGACATTGAGTTCAGAACACACACAAATTCTAAAATTTCATAGCTGAGAGTAACTTAGAAATCATTTTATTCTCCTTAGCGGCTGTGAAATTTTAGGCTATGAATATGGCTTTAATTGCTCATGAATTTTCCCAACTGGATTCTAAGATCCTTCAAAGCAGAAACTATTCTCACCTTCTCTGGTATTAGCATGGTTTTGAGAACACACTGTGTACACCACATATATTCACTTGGTACCTTTCCACGCCAAACACAGGGATTAATGAGGCTTCATAATTACAAAATAGCAAAAAGAGCATCAAACAATGTGTGTGCGGGCATGCACGTGTGTGTGTGCATGTGTGCATGTGTGTTATATATGTGTCACAGAATTGATCTGCTTGAGTTTTTCACTAACTCATTTTAAAACTCAATTGATTGACTACTCTGACAAAGCCTCTGTCAGCCCCCAAACCTCCGAGTCCCTATGCAAATACCTAGAGAGCAAAGGCCTCTCTAACTCAGTGGCCTAAATTTAAGAAAATAAGACCTTGTAATTGAAACAGGAGGGATCTTGTCCATTCTACTCCTGGTTAACCACAGAAAAGCCCAGGAAACTCTAATTCAAGGATGACAAAATTTTGGTAAGAAAGATTAAACATGGGTTTTGGAGTCAGACAAACTTAAGCAAGTTGTTTAACCCATCCAAGTGTATTTCCTCCTAAACTGGATGTAATACACACCACTGAAGATTGCACTGAAGATTAAATAAAAAAATGGATACAAATGCCTAATTTAGGAAATCCTTAATTTCTACTTTATGTCATGGCAGCATTTCCTATCTAACCAAGGTGAGGCTGAGCCAAACATTATGGGAGAAGAAGAAACTGCAAAACTCGGATAATTCACACAGCTTTATTTCATCAGCTCAGCACTAGGCAATCGTGCCGGGTGCACTGGAGCATGACTGATGCATGAGTGACCTATCTGATTGTTCAAGTGATACAGATAGAAAGTTGAATTCGATTAACTGGTACAACTGGATTTATACAGGCACACAGGCATAATGTGTGTTCCACATATTTTCCATCCATGTTTGGAGATTCTCTGATGTACATCTGAAACTGATAGGATATTGTATGTCTATTATTCTGCAATTAAAAAAAGTTTACTGAGCTCTGCTTTCTGCAGTTTACACTGTAGATGATATATAGAGAGAAATTCTTTTTGTGTTTTCTAAATATTCAGTTTTATTTTTAAATGAATAGGCTTTTTAAAACTACATATACTCTCACTTCAACAAATTTCTCTTAAGGCATTGATTTAAAAGGACTAAAATGGGATTTTGATTTTTGCCCTTTTGAGCCTGTTGTGAAGTAGAACAACAACAACAAGAAAGGAAGCACAAAATCCCCTGTGTCCCTGTTACAAAGGCACTACACTTAGGGAAGACCGGGAGCTGTTTGACATCAATGGCACTGAGCAAGTCCTGTTATACTCTAGAGACAACATCAGCTGCCAGACAACCAGGAAGCAATAGTGAATGCACCAGTAACCCCAGCTCACGTTTACTGGGCCTCAGTGGGTGGGAGGCAGTGTGCTGAGCACTCAGTTAATTCTCACAACCATTTCATGAGGTTCTTGATGAGGAAACTGAGGCTTAGAGCCATTAGGGTCTTTCCCCCAAACAAAGCTAGTATAACAATCCCATGTTTCATTCCAGAGCCAGACTTTTTAGCTGGGGAAGTATTCTGCTGAAATATGAATAAAATGTAACTAACTAATTACTGGAATACCAAAGCACTCAGAGACATGAAGTATGTGTTTCTATGTGTGCTACGTGCGTGTGTGTGCACACACACATGTACAAAGCTTTCCCAAAGCAACATTTGAAGAGCATTATGAAATGCAGTTTAAATAACTCCCAAGGTAGGGGTAGATTTGGTTGTGGCAGTTTTCCTGAAGCATACGAGTTTGGGTCTCGGCTTTGGACTTGAGGTAGAGCATGGACTGGCAGAGACCTGCAGCTGGGTGCACATTCCTGGGAAGGAGAGTGGCCAGGTCTAAGGCACAGATTATGCTGGAAAGAAAAAGTCAGCTGGGCACTGCTGAGGCATGGTACTCAGTGAGGTGGAACAAGTGGCAGCAGTGCTGTGGATCCCTGGGGTCTGTTGGTAGGATAATCGTAGGGTCAGGATAAACATCTAGCATTTGATAAGATGCTCATCACAAAGTTACTACAGGCTTCTGATTAAGGAAATTCTATGATAGTTGTTTCTGGAAAATTATTCTTGTAGCTGTTTATTGGACCACTTAGAGTGGAGAAACTGAAAATGAATAGTTAGTATATTTTAGTATAAGAGATATAATAGAAGTCTGAGCTGAAGTGGTCATGAAAGAATTTTTTTTTAAATGACCAAGGTCTGCAATCAAGACTTCAGAGATGGCACAATTTTATAATGGTTGAAATGATTATTCGGCCGTAGGGCATGCTGCCAAGGGAGCAATCAGAACTAGATGCACTGGAGTTGGGGCCTCATCTACCAGAGATGATTTTAAATCTGAGTGTGGGTCTGCCTGGACGGAAAAGGGGGAATTTCAGTCTATTTGAAATTCCTCTTCTCATTCAAATTGTTCTCTCCAATTAATTTCCCTTGGTGCTCCTAATGATCAAATCTGCACAGAAACCAAGAATAAAAGAGAAAACACCCTGGGGCCACCTGTGGCTGAGTGGTTAAAGTTCCACACATTCTGCTTCTGCAGCCCAGGTTTGTGGGTTGGGATCTGGGGTGTGGACTTACTCCACTCATCAGCCATGCTGTGGAGGCATCCCACATATAAAGTGGAGGAAGACTAGCACAGATGTTAGCTCAGGGCTAATCTTCCTCAAGCTAAAAAAGAGGAGGATTGACAATAGATGTTAGCTCAGGGTGAATCTTCCTCACAAAATAAAAGAGAGAGAGAAAACATCCCATTAATCTCTACAAAATGCATCTCCCAGAGGGCTGGAATGGTCAGCAAAACTTTATGTGAGGAGTCTAAAATGGCTGTCTTCCCGATCTACCTTTCTCTAAGGTGCATGTGCAGGAGTACTTACCGCAAGCATCCACTTTGGGAGGAAGCACTCTCTACATAGTGTTTCAGAGAAAGCTGGAATTCTTCCAAGTCCTCTTCTATCACAGACATCTGACGCTGCACAAGCATGATGTGCTGTGGAGGCAAGGATGAGGAAGGGAGGAGTGTTACTGCCAACCCTCTGCTGTCCATCCCGTCCTTCCTCACAAAGCAAACAATTCTCCTCTAAAAATATGACCAGGAAAGCCATGACTAGTCTAAGTAATAAACATTGTACAAAAGCGGTAGTAGAGGCAGGATATTTTTCTTGCCTCTAGTAACACAGAAGAAAGCGTCCTTCACGATGACATTTCCCTTTTAAAAGCAGTGGTTCTCCATTAGAATCACTGGGAAGGTTTTATTTATTTTTCATTTGATTTTATTTTTTAACGTTCTTTTTTTTTTTTTTTAAGAGATTGGCACCTGAGCTAACAACTGTTGCCAATTTTTTTTCTGCTTTTTCTCCTCAAGTCCCCCAGTACATAGTTGTATATTTTAGTTGTGGGTCCTTCTAGTTGTGGCATGTGGGATGCCGCCTCAGCGTGGCCTGAGGAGCAGTGCCAAGTCCGCACCCAGGATCCAAACAGGTGAAACCCTGGGCCGCTGAAGCGGAGTGCACGAACTTAACCACTAGGCCATGGGGCTGGCTCCTGGGGAGGTTTTAAGATTGCATTTATAATCAGAATCTCTGGGAGTGGGGTCCAGGCACTTTATTTATAAAAAATTTCCCAAGTGACTCTAATGTGCAGCCAGGTTTGGGATCACTGGCCTAGAGTCACCAAATTTTAAAGAGAAGTCCTATTGTGCACAGTACACAGCTCCAGCTTCTCCTTGGATGTTCTGTGACAGACATATTGTGAATATCATTAAAAACAAACAAATTTCAAAAAAAATGTGTTCATTGATGCATTTCCAAAGGTACATTAACCATCACAGTGTTCTCAAATGTAATAACTATCCACAATAGGCCCCACTCAAAATCTCACAACATTAGATGGAACCTGTGTTTAATGAACCACACTGGGTTGAATGCCAACTGCTTCTTGTAACAAATCCTACTACTGTTATGGCACCCATGGTCTGAAGACTTTCCTAAACATCTGCCTATGGGCTTCTCATGGTATTTTGATCTCAAGATTCGTTCTTTCCTCATCAAGGGTTGGGAGTGAAGCATAAAAGTGCAAAAACAAGTAAGGATTGAGGCGTGAATTATAAAAGTGCAAAACAACAACATGAGGACGATTTGGAAAATGAGGAAAATGACTTGTGCAACATTACCCAGCTATGTAGTGGTAGAACTACAATTAAGTCTCTGGTTTGCTGTCTCCTATTCCAATGAGTTTCTCACTTCATGTTAATAGCTACCAATTGTTGAATGTCAATTATATTATAGGTATTATGTTAGGAATTTTATATGTTCAACAAATGTCCCTACTTTGTGTTCCTACAAGTAAATACTAAGTGCTGGATTCTGGGTATACAGTAATGGATCAAGATAGAATTCTTATCTTCACAGAGTTTTAAAGAAATAAACAAGGCCTGAAAACTATGTCTAAGGAGTAATTTTAGGTATGATTATTAGCACATGAAACCGACTATATGTAAATTGATCAGAATTCTACTACATTTTTGACAGGACTATATTGCCAAATAAATCTTGATTTCAGTCTTAAAATCCTTTGACTATTTAAATCTTAAAATAATGTTTGGGACCCCAAACTCACACAAGCAGGAAGCAGGCTGTGAATACTGCATAACACCCAAGAGGGTAATATTCTCCAACAGGCTGTTTCAGATGTGGTCATGGAGGATAACGCACCCAGAAGAAACTCTCAAAAGAACAATGGACAACAGAATTCCTCCCAAAATGGAGATCCCATGGCTAATCACGAAACTTCCTTCATTGACAAATAGCTTCCCAGCATGAATTCATCGTTGCAATGAACCAGCGAATGCTGTGTTTCCTCTTCATCCCTTTTCTGAATGGTAGTTTTTATGGCATTTATCCTAGCCCAGTTTTATCATTGTAATATTTTATCTGTGTAGGTGGGGGGGGGGATAGAGATAACTTAGCTCCTTTTTATTCATAAGTGTGTCAGACCTCAAGGGACTACATTCTGGCCTTACAGAGAAGACTGCATATCATTCAGGGATCCTGGATTTTGAGCTAGAAGGAGTAACTGGAGGAGACTTTGGGTGGTCTCCCTTGTGAAGGGGTCTGTGAGTGCGTTCTATATATATGAAGAGAAGGATGCAAATAAATATTTGATGACCAGAAGGTAGACTGTGGCAGAGATTCAAAGCTGTTCAGGAAAATCTATTTCTTTCTTCTTTCTAGGTACACAGCTAAACTGCATATTCCATCGTCCCTTGCAGTTAGATGTAGCCAACTAATGAGTTCTCACCAATAGAACATGAGTAGAAGTGCTGTGTACTGCTTTTGAAAAAGACTTTCAAGAGGGATGTGAACCTCCTCCACATTCTCTTTCCATTTTCTGTTGGTAGGATGAAGAACTGCCTTAGGAATGGCAGAGCCACAGGTGAGAGAAGCCCGTGTTCCTGAATCGTTGTGTAGATGGTTTGCTGGGCAAGGAACACATTTTTATTATGTTGAAATCATTCTACATTTTGGGTCTATTTCTTCCCATAGCCCATTCTACATTTTGGGTCTATTTCTTCCCATAACCTTAATGAGTTCAGTAATTTTAATTGAGCTTTATTTCCCTTCAGTATCAGGGATCAAGAATCAGTAGATACAAGTCTGTAATTATCTGCTAAGGTCGTGTAATGAAAACACCACCCTCCTGTATGACTCTCCCAGGAACTGGTTTTAATGTCAATAACTAAGAGTTAGAGTTATTATTATTAAAGTTAAAATTATTATTATTATGTAAAGTAATTATTATTACTATAAAGTTAAAATAATTCTAGACATGTCTTTTTGACAGAAATCTGCAGGGACTTCTTGATCAGGTATCTTTGATTAACAATGACTCAGGTGATATGTAAATATATCCACTTATTCCACCATAATTCTTTTAGTCTGAAGGCAATGCTTATGTGATCCTGTGGGGTAGACTGCAAATATGACCACAACCCTTCACTATACCCTTTGAAATGTGACTTTTCAGTTTCTTCCATCAAGACATGGATTTTATTTCCATTCCCTTGGATCTGGGCTGGCCTTCTAACTTGCTTTGGCCAACAGAATGTGGCAGAAGTGACAGTGTGTCTGTTGCAAGTTTAAGTCCCAAGAGGCCTGTGAGTTTCCACTCTTTCTCTTGGATCCCTGAGATTGTCATGTGAACAAGCCCTGTGAAAACAGAGGTAAGCAAACTTTTTATGTAAATAAAAATATGGTAAATATTTTAGGCTTTGCAAGCCATATAGTTCCTGTCACAACTACTCAAATCTGTTTTAATGTGAGAGCAGCCATAGACAATTAGTAAATGGGTGTGGCTGTGTTCTAATAAAACTTTATATATAAAAACAGGCAGTAGGCTATAGTTTGCCAACCCCTGTGCTGGAGGATTAAAGACTGCATAGAACAGAGCTGAGTCAATGGATTCATACGAGCCAAGATCAGCAAAGCTGGCATGCAGCTGACCACAGATGCCTAACAGAAGCCAGTTGGGACTGTAAGAACCACCCAGTTGATCCCACCCTAAATTGCCTACCTGCAGAATTGTGGTTGAAACCACTCGATTTTGGGTAGTTTGTTATATAGCAATAGCTAATTGATTCATTCACTTATACAAATGGATGTGAATAGGATCCGGAAAAATTAAATTTACTTTGCAACCCAAATAAGACATGTCTCTTTTCTCCTTTCCTCAGATATTTACACAAAGAAATCAATTTACGAGGCCCAGATAACTTGCCCACATTTTTGACTATTGTAACAAGTGGAGCTTTAAAAATCTTGGTTAATTTAAGGTCAACTCTCTGAGATCCAAAGAAAATTCTTAAATTTTCTATGCTGGTGAGGTCAAGTTGTGGGATGTGGGGTATGGGAGAGGTGGGCAAAGAGTCCTAATATCTTCATGATATTTTTATATGTCTCTTGTGTCAAATATACAGCCTGTGATTCTTACTGAAATCTGAGATTCCATGGTGGGAATAGCCAACCCAGAGCATTCTTTCATGGTGGAATATAATAGTGTACACTTTTGTTTCTTTGCTGTGAAAGGGGTAGTATAGCCTTTATCATTTATAGCAGAATATTTGGGATTTCTTGGGCTGGTAAGTGCTAAGTATGAAGGGTTAATCCAAGTTTACAGAAGAGTATTTGCCAGTGACATTAGGTTATAGCAACATCTGCCTTTGATTCTTTGGATTTTTTTTACTTCAAAAACTTTCAGTTTTAATCACTGGAGACAGAAATGTTTTAAATGCAACTAATTTGCTTCATGTTGTCTGGCTCTATTTGCTCCATTTACAGTTGTGTCCCAAGCATGTCTTCATTAATATCACAGCCTTTCTTGTGTGCTCTCATTGAATCTCTTAACAGCTATTGCAAAGCAAGACTGTCTTTTGATAGTCCCTGAAGTTTTTGTTGACAATAGCCTGTAAAACATATAAGATTGTATGGCAAGAGTTGATTTACTTCACAAAACATTATTCACAGGTTTGATATGAGTAGAAAGGCAGAAAAAGATATTATATTTGTAAACTACTGTATGATAACTTTTCCAGTGTATACAATAATGTGCTCCAGAAAAGTTAGTTTTTGAGAAGCACCAGAATGTGAACAAAGTTTGTTTAAAATTATATTGACTTTTTAAAAGCTCCTTTTGAATGTAGAAAATATCTGGAAAATGATCATCTTTTTCCAACAGTCATTTGAGAAGAAGCGCCACACGAGGCAAACAATGACACCAGGCAGAAAGGACTCGGGTGGATCAATACACTTGGACAGATCCAGGAGGTGTGGTCTGGTTGGAGCGATTCCTTTCAAAAATCATATTAACTTTTCAATGATTCATACTCAATGCTTAGTACTTGACAGCTAGAAGATAATAAATTATCCACAAATTTTCAATGAGTCATAAAGTCATCGTCTTGGACTTTTCTTTCCTATTTTATTATAGCAAGAATAAAACTGTGAATTCCTGAGGTTGCTGTCTTTATGGCATGCTTGTTATAAATCATTTGGAACATTTTAATATTCCTGTATACCACCTTAGTGTTCTTTTAGTGCAATGTTAGAACTCAATGTTGTAAAAGATACATAAATATTTTTTAAAACTCCTACTTATTCTTTTTGATTTCATCTTAAATATTGTATTGTTCTGGAAGCATTTTCTGGCCTCCTAAATTAGGTTGTATTCCCTTGCTGTGAAAATTTATACTTTCCTATAGTAATCCTCATCACATTTTATTGTTGATCCTTATTTAATTGTCTATATTTCCTTCTGGTCCATCTTCTAGCCTATGATAGTCACAACCTTATCTCCCTCAAGGCCTGGCACATAGTTGGTGATCAAGTTATTTGTGGAACAAACAAGATGCTTTTGCTTTTAACCACTGACTCTTCTTAAAATTCCTTTAATAAATTTTATTTATACACTGTCCATTCCAGAAAAGGATGTGAGGTGGTCCTGAAAACTCTAGAGCACTGCAAAATTGTTACTCTTTTATCTATCTCCATCATCTTGTCCTCTTTCCTTTCTTCTTTCTCCTTTAAGAGCAAGAAGTGTTGATTTAAAAGAATGGGCTTCACTTTTACTAGCTATGTAGTCTTGAGCAAGTTACATAATCTTTATCATCTTAAGTCTTCTGATACATAAAATTGGAATAGTGGGAGGATTAAATGGAACAGTGTATGTACAGATCTTGCCCATGATAGATACTCAATAAACATTACTTCTCTTACTCTGGGCAGAAGAAAAAAATGGACTTAAAAAAAGAAATCATATCCTAAACTCATTGTTATGTCATGGCTCCTATCCCAAAAAAACTAGATATGGCAGCTGCTAGGGTTCAGGACTTTTGCTGCGTACTTAAATAAGCCTACCTGATAATCTGCTCTGCTCTCGTGGTAGGAAATCTCATGAGATGGCGTCCTCTGTTAGCTCACAGCCTCGCTACCCAAGAGCAACTCTACTTTAGTACTCAGAATTGCAGCAAATACCAGAGCTGGAGTGTGACAGTGTGGGGAGGAGTGTGTGTTTAGTGGTGGTGTTTCAACCTTTCTACACCTTCATTTCTTTATCTGTAAGATGGGGCTAATAAAAGCACCACTTCCTGAGGCTAATGTGAGTGTAAATGAATTATGTATGTGTGTGTTTGGCACAACACTGGGCACACAGCAAAGGCTCAGTAAAGATCAACTTTTAAAAAGCAAAGTACATGATAAAAATTTATTCTTTGCTTTCTGATATGGAATTTATTTTTCAAAGTTCTCACGCATTCACTAATGGAAAAGGAAAAATACCTCTCTAGTCAATGAATTCTAAAACTGGTTTTGGTCACCGGGATAAATCACTGAACACACAGTAAGATACAATTATGAGTGCTAGCTGTGAAATAACAGTAAACAATTGTTTTGGTCATTCTGAATATAGAGGTTTTACAGGAATTGATAGTAATGTATGTACTACCACTAATGAAAGAATACAACTTTTAATAACAAGTATCTTACTGGTATTTCTGAAAAAACTACCCAGTTTAGACTATCATGATATGTGTATTCCCAAAGAGCATAATTATTTACCTTTACACATGGTTGAAAATACTTAAGGAATATCCTTTTCCTGCTTTTAGATAATACTAGCTACTGAACCATCTTGCCTAGTCCTTTTTTTTTTTAAGTACTTCTATGCACTATTGGATTAGCAATGCTATGTGGCTTGATAGGCTCTTTTAAAAATGACATTGGCCTCTCTCTTCTCTCAGGAACCAGAGAATGGAACAGCCTGTCATCTTTCATAAACAATCCTTAGACAATTTTTCCTCTCATAGCTAGAGAGAGAGAATAGTTTCACATTAGAAGATTATTTTGAATAGACAGTTGTCTCTCCCAACATTAGAAAAGTTACGTTCATTTTTCTTGACTGCAGTCTAGTTTTCCCTAAATGCAAACCTGAGAGACAATACAGATGCAAGATCTCAAGGTCAAAATCTCATGCCTATGGGACTGCACAGACCTGCTATTTCTGGCATGTGTGCTCAACAACCCTCTCTCCTTTCGGTTTCCCACCACAATTTACTACTTTAAAATTCTGGGTGCCTGATGAATTAACAGACCTCATCCCTGTCTTTGGAAGATTAAAAGCACTGAACACATAGTGAAAATACAGTTTATATCTGGGGAAGGTGTCCATATCAATAGGATTATAATCATAACAGCCATTATTAAACTTTTCTGAGAAACCCCCAAAGCCTCCTCTCTGAAGACTGCCTTTGTGCTATGCATTTGGGCAGATGGACAGGAGCTGACACACAGGTGAGTCTCACCTTCTATCATGTAGGCAGTGCTGGTGGAGTAAGTGCACAGTCCAGAGATGAAACATATTTCCTATCTTTGTTTTGTGTAAATGTGACTGATTCTACAAGAGCTATACACTATATAATACATTTAAGGTATTAAGTGATCTTCTGTGGGTACCAAAGATTTTAAAATCCAAATTTCCACTAAATGTAAATGCAAACATCCAATTTCCCAAAACAGAATGTGCTATATCTGCCTCAAAATAAAGTAAAATAACAAAGCATTGTATGTGTTGCTTTTCAATTAGTTAATTTATTCAGTAACTTCTTTTTGTTGTATTTAATGTACCTATTAGGATCACTTTGTCCATTTTCTTTCAATGTCCGTAAATTGCCACCACTCTGGATGGACACTTTTCCCTATATGCATAAATGTTCCCTTTACTCTAAATATCAATTTTTTATTTAAATGATTTCTGAGCATCTACAATGTGCTTGGCCCTGGGCTAAATGCTGAAAATATAATAACGAATAGGACCAAGTTTCAGCTCGGGTGTAGCACTCAGCCTAGCAGGGTTTATAAAATGTGTCTATGATACAAATTTGGATGTTGCCCTTCTCTGCCATTCATATTCATTCAGTTATTCCAGAACGCTTTGATTTATAAAATTTTCATTTTGCACATATTACATGCCAAATGTTTTCACAGAAGCTCTGTGAAGTAGGCATTAGGTTTCCACAAATCACAATTTAGAAGATACTACTTGGCATACAAAATGAAATATGCCCACTATTACTTTTTGAAATTTTCAGTAAGATAGTAACTAATTTTGAAGAAATTAAATCATGTTTCAAAGTACCTGTTTCTTAACATTTTGATCTAGAAAAAATACTTACAGATTTAGTATTTCCTTCAACAACTTCTTCTTCCAGAGGTTCAAGTTTGAGATCCTTCAATTAGAGGAAAAAATGAGGAGAAAACCAGAAATTAGTTAATTAAAAGAAACACCATATATTTAAATGGTAGCACTTTATTCAATATTAAGTTCAATATTATGGCTAATAGTGAACCAAAAGAACCTCATTATCTGAAAGGAGATGAAATAAGTCTGATTTTTTCAATTGAGCTATTCCGCTAAAGACGTTTACCCATTGTATCAATTGTAAGGAGCCATTTCAGATATGTTCCAATTTGTTATTACTTTAAGTTTACTTCACTGATGCTATTAAAAGAGAAGAAAGTGTAGAGAAGATTCATTAAAGCAGAGAAGGAAAGGATAGGGCAGTGGGAAGAAAAAGTTAGGATGACCAGGCTGATTTCTTTTGCTGTGAGTATTGCCGTATTTCTTGGGAGATCATGATATTCATTAGTGCTACTGCTATAATACATTTACACTCTAGTGCTAATATTGCTTTATTAAAAAGTGAATTAAAAGGCAAATGAAAACACTATTGATATTTACTAAAAATGAAGGACTACTAAAATGACCCTAGAATTGTCTGCAATGATCAACGGATAATGCTAATGTCCCAGTGAAACCACACACGTGATCTGAGGACTTCATGCAGAGTATATCCTAGCATACCTGCTAAGTAAGGATTATGCACAGTAATTGAAATTTGTAGAAGTAAATTGAAAGTTGTAGAAATCCAGATTGGCTGAAATAACATAAGCCTGTTAATAACAGAGGTATGTAGCTCTAGCTATGCTCTTCTCTTGTGGTGAACTTTTAGTAAGTTATTTAACTTCTCTGGGGTTCACTTTTACTGTTTCTTCTGCCTTAAATTCTCTATCCCTAGGTCTTTGTCTAGCTGGCTCCTTCTTGTCTTTCACATTTCAACTCAAATATCACCTTCTTAGAGCAACCCTCCCAGATTGCCTAAGTATCCTCCCTTCCACACCCACCCCCACCACCCCGTGAATGTTAGTTTAATAACTGAATAGCTGAATGAATGGATGCCCCATCTAAATCAGAGCTCTTCTGTGAAGGTAAACTTAATATGATGTACATAGATGTGAACTGAATCTTAAAAAGTATCCTATAGACAGAAACCATAACAGCAGTGATCTCCTTGACTGCCCTTTCCCTAACACCAACTCAAGTATGCTTGTCAGTTCTACCTTCTTTGATCTAACTTAGAAAAATGAAAAACAAGTTGGATGAGTGCAACATCCTTAATTACACCCCTTCAAATGAGGATGTCCTGTGATCTGATGATACTCTCAGGACTTGATGAAGACTGAAGAGGTTTTGTGGTGGTGGTTTTGTTACACATTAAAAGTGTTTTCTGTGGAGTTCAAGCAACACATGAGACATAACCTCAATTGATCCCCATAAATACTCACGGAGGCTGAAATAGAAAGAAGGAATGCCCAAAGAAACTTGTAGAAATCTCAAATGTTATTTTTTCCCCTACATGAATGCTACTGGGCTTGGTTTACAATGCAGGAAAGATTTATCATAAGTACTTAGTGGAGAGAAAAAATAATATGTGTTCCGCCACAGGTATACTTCCTTTTAATGGGGAGATCAAAACTGGTGCTAACAACTGCGGGAGACAAGATGGTCAGCAGTGAAAAGACACGCACTTAGCTACCGTTGGGTGATTGGGTAGTTTTTCTCTAAAAATCTAATTCAGCACCATACAGAATAAATCATAGAAGAGAACTAAACTTGCACTGCTTCTCCATTCATTAAGACAGATCATGCTGAGCCCCACACAGCTGGAGCCCCATGCTGAAGATCAGCGCACTGAACTTTTAGTAAACCTCTCAGAAACCATCCTCAAAATGAAACCCTTCCTTTTTCAAAAGGAGAAAAAAGTCTAGGAAAGAAGGGCGTGCCAATACTTTGATTTAAAGTTGGAAAAAAGGTATAACCTAAGTTTGAGCTATTCCTTTAAAAATAACTATGTAAATCTAAGACACTAAATAAAGACAGGTTTTCCAAGAACTTCAAAACCATTTTTAAAAATAGGTATTTATGTTCTTTTAATGAATTGAAATTTGTTTAACAACTGAATCCTTATGTTTTAACAAGGTTTTGTTTTCAAATAGGGTCCTAGATTTCCAGACCTTACAACATTGAAAAATTAATTTTCAGAGCAGTATTTTTCCTATGAATTCTTTTAGTCTCAGCTCACATATTAATTAATAAAATTGGAAAGGAGGAAAGTTGGTTTGCAGCAAGCTCTTTGTTTAGGTTATTTGCCCCAGTAAATGGTCAATGTAAATTTAACAAATGATGATGTGGTAGCAGAGGGACTGGAACTCTCCAAGGCTAGTTCCTTGTATAGAATCTTCTTTTTCAGAGACCTTACCCCTCCTCAAAACTTGAGGTTTACCTTCGTAGAGACGGCTGTTAAAACCTTAATCTGTTGGCCTGACTTCTCGCCTACTGACATCTGAGTGGGTATTTCTGCCTAGATGTTCTATTGTATCCTTGAAATTAACACACCTAATAAGACAGTCCACCTTCTCATGTCACCAATTCTCTCTCCTTTGTCCCTCCCTTTTCTGTTAATAGTATAATTGTCTCCCAGACACTCAGGCTCAAATCCTCAGACTCCTATTTCAGATTCCCCTGTCCTTTACTCACCATGCCCACTCAATGGTCCTGTTCATTTCACTTCAAGGCCTTCAAATCTGCCATTTTCTTTTCAGTCACTTAGTCCAGGCCCATCTTTTGCCATACCCGATCCCAGTGGGCTCAGGTCTACAACCTGCTCTTTAATGCCATTGTTTGAGCTGGCTCTGGCGGTTGTGACTCTGAATTTTCTTGTTTGAATCCCTCTTGTATTTTTTCTGTCTACTTGTCTATCTAAAGGATCTTTTGGTTATGTCACTTACCTGCTGAAAAATAATAAATGCATCCTGTTGTCTCCAAGACCAAGTCCAAATCTCTATTACCATTATTTTTACCAAGTCTGTTATTTAAGGCCATCCATAATACGACTCCCTATTCACCCATACAGTCTTACTTGTCACCACTTCCCTAAATGAAAGACTCTAACCTGGCTGGTCTATTTAACTTTTTCTCATGCCATCATCTTCCCTGAATGCCCTCTCTAGTTGCTGTTTACTAAAATTTTACTTCTCCATAGGAAATATTTGTTTGTTAGTTTGTTAGCTGACCAGAATTTATTCCAATTTTAATGACAATACATTTTCCTTTCAGTGAATTATCTCTTCTCCTTTCAATACGGTGCTCTGGGGACTGTTAATCAAGGTGTTATCACCTCCCTTATCCAAGAGGTCAGCATGTGACCCTAACAAGACCAACCAGATTCTCTCTCCTGGGAAGTGGAATCTTGAGCAGAATATCGTCTAACTGGAAATGGTTGGAACTCATTTATTCCAGTGGAGGTAACCTGAGAGACTGTTGAGTGTTTCTTGCTTACCTAGATCTCTAGAGTTATTTTGTCTTCTGACTTTTCCTAAATCTAGGTCTCTAGACTCTCTGTTGATTATGAGAACACTCCCATATCCTTCCAGAAAATTCTCTTTTTGGTTAAAGAGATGATTTCTGTCACTTGCAATCAAAATTCCTAATTGTCATCAATTTTAAGGGCCAATTTAAGCCCTTCCTGCCACACAAGGTATCTTCCCAAGCACCCAAGCTGACAGTAATCATCCCCTCAGGTGAACATCTGTAGATTTTAGCATCTGTTCCACTCCTTTGGCATGTCTCAGTCAGTCAGCAAGTATTTACTGACATTAACTAGGAACCCGGTTCTGTGCTACTACATACTTAAAAAAAATCTGTTAATTCATTGTTTTTGGAATATAGCTTATTTTTATAAGGGGACTTTGGGTTCTTCAAACTCTGCCTCAAACATAAACCTTCCTTCTTTGGTGCTTGGCATGCACAGAAAACTCATATTCTTAATCATTAACAAAGGCTGCATCTTCCATCAAAGCCGTTTAAAGGGAGTATCAGGACTATTTGGTACTAATTGAATTAGACTATAAAAATATAATAATCGGAGACATAAAATACTGTTCTGAAGAACCCTATATCACATCCTAACTTGCTTGCTAACTGGGGAGTTTTAATGCCCAAAATCATCAGTTAATATGCTAATTTCCAGAGGTTGACTATGTAATCTCATCTTTTAGTATATCACACAGCCATTTCCCTGAATCATTTTAAAACATTCCCAGATATCAACTGGGTCATCCCTAATAGCTGCCACTTGCATCATTCAAGTGGACTGCTACCTACATCACTGATAAGCTAAGAGGCAATACAGTAGATTTATTGAACTTTCAACCCTACATCCTATTTTAAATATAACTAGGGGTAGGGGTGGGAAGAATGAGAATTAACATGAGCTTCTATATTTAACAAAAAACTCAAATAACTACCAAGCAGCCATTCATAGCATCGCTGGGATCCTGGCTGTTATTCTATTCATGTTGCAGCCATGGATATTGTGGCAATGAAAAATAATGGGTGAGAATCTACTGAAAAGTGAGAGGGAGAAGCAAGAAAATAAAGCAGTCACCTTCTTTTCCAGTCGATCAATTAGTTTCTGGAGTCTGTTTATCTGGGTCATCCACTGATTATCTTCTTCTAATAAGCCTTGAGAGGAAAATCATGAGAACAATATGTTAAACCCTAGACAGAGCAAGAATGCTTTGGTATCTCAGAGCTTTCCTTTTACCCTGAAGGAAGAAGGCCATGTCATTGACTAGTCAACACATTTTTAAAAAAATATATTCACCCGAGTGCTTTCTAAGTTGTTGATTTTCATAGATCTACGCACCTCAGTGGGTTCATTTTCACAGTCTTTTTTTTATATGTTGTTGCCTTTACTGGCCTTTGACATTCAAAAGAACACATCCTGCTGAGCCATTTTTACCACCCCATGAGGTGGTTGATTTTTCTTTTGAAAAAAGGAAAGCATCAATCAATAATTCTAAACTCACTTTTGGGGCAGTGGCAGGAGCCAGGGAAATCATAGTCCTGACCAAAACAAGGGATAAATTGTTACAATCAAAAAGAAGTATAAGGACAAGGTAGCTGGTGTCCCCTTTCATAGAGACTAACCTGTGTATATGTGGACATTATGGTCATACCATAGTGGTTACGAGTGCAGACTCTGGAGCCTGCTGATCTTGGTCAAATTACTTGACTCCTCTGGCCTCAGTTTTCTTATTTTTAAGATGGGAATAATAATATCACCAGCCTCATAGTCATTGTGAGGATTAAGTTAGAATATATATGTATGTAAATATACATATATTGTGTATGCGTATATGTATGTAGTATATGTATGCAGGTGTATACACACATAGGCACATATATATCTGTATCTAGCACAGATTAAACATTATACAAGTTCTGCTGCTATTATAGTTGCTGTTGTTAATATTATTATGCAAAGGTGCAAAAGTAAGAGTTGTGGTCTGAGCCTCGGCACGAACATCCTGGCATCCTATATCCTCACTGCAGCTTGCTCAAAATGTTTTCACGGGCATTTGCTGAAGCAATATTATTTAATATTTCTTGATAGGAAGATGTGATTGAATTTAAAACTATAAAGTCTGTTTTAGCTTTGAACATTAGGAAGATAAGACCTAAGTTTTAAAAGGGTAGTACTTTATATTAGAATTTACAATTTATTAGCCTTCTTGGGTGGATCACCTCTCAAAGCCCACCCAAATAAATAATGATGCAAAAATAAGCAGTAGCATTGTCACAAAGAAGTGGCTAAAGAAAATCAGAATAAGGGTGCTTTATAATAGAAAATACTATAAATGCATAAACAAAGTTTATGTTTATTTTTTAATTCACAAATTATTTAAAACATTTGCATCCTGGGTTGTTCCTAGACAGATTTAAGATGGCTGTCACAGCAAAGTCCCTTAGAAGGACATTTTGGGCTTAACACTGTTTTCTAAATGGCTAAAGTGAAAAGAACAATCTGTGCTTTGGCTCAGGATCCTAGTATTGTCATTTTCTAGTCACATATGGTAGATTGTATTACTGTTCCCAATTCTTTACTTTCTTCCTATTATAGAATTATACATACACAGCCTTGCCCATGACTTTGCAGTATCTACTATCACAATGGGTGGAGTACATGTCCTCCCCATTCTTACTGGGTTTGGCACGTGACTCATTTGGCCAATGGGGAGTTAGTAGATACGATGCACACAGTGGTTTTAAATGAGGTGTGTGACTTGTCCTGGCTGCTTGTACTTCTGACACTCACCAGGAGAAGAAATTGCTCCAACTAGTCAGTGATCCCAGGAAGGTGCGAGAGGAACAGAGCTGAACCCAACCTACTGCCTGGAACCATGTCCAGCTGAAAGCACCCAAATCAAAATCAAGGAATAGACCCATGAGAGAGAAAAACCCAAATATTTGCACTCATAATCACTGAGATTGGGGTTGTTCATTCCACAGTAAAAAGGGACCAGTAGTTCATATGACCTTGGACAAATTGCTTCACTTTCTGGAGAAATGGAGATACCAATATCTATATTATAAGATGTTAGGATAAAATAAGACAATGTTCAAGAAAGCATTTTGAAATGGTTCAAGTACAGTCTGTGTAAATATAGGCTATAGTTAGTACTTTGATTTTTCTGAAATGTTAGATATTTAAAGATTCATTTGTGTTAAAATGACATGTTGAAGTGTTATGTGTGTATATACATACATGTGTCCATATACACCTATACATATGCATATATATGCATGCTTTATAAAAATTACTCTGATATTTAACAATGTGAGTTTGCATATTTCAAATTGACTTTAAAGTAATTATTATAAATGACATGGTTAAAATGTAATAACCTAACAATTATTAAGATTTTAGTTCAACAAATCTTATATTACATTATGCACTTCAAAAACACCAGCTGTGACTTTAATCCTATCATGAAAGGAGACAAGGATCCTCTTCCTAAAATGAATTTAGAGTATGCTTACACAGGCTTAGGATCTAACGCATATTAGGGTACAGACTAAAGGGGATCTCTGCTTGAAGGTGATGGGGATTTCTGTAGGTCTCAGGTCTTTCATGTATTAAGTGACTGAGCCACCTTCTTCCCTACCCACCACCTCTCTGTGTACTGCCCAGGCACAACTGCTAGGATTCTGATAGAACTGATGGTGAGGATCATCACTCCAGTTCTTAATACTTTAGACTCTTTGCCACTTTGGTTTCAGACAAACTCATTTGGTATAAGAAAAGTATTCCATTACTATTGTTCTTTTAGCTGCCTTTTGTGTGTGTGTGTGTGTGTGTGTTTTTAATAAGTCAATGTGAAAATACAAACTGAGCTGACTTTGAAAAAGAAAAATGACAAAGCTGCCTTACCTGGAGCGCTGACAGTAAACTGAGGGCTGTTAGGGGAGAAGCTGTTGTGTCTCTGGACTCGGCGACTTGACCGTTTTCCAGGCCACTGAATCGACAGGACTTCTGGCTTGGCTAGCCCTTGCCTTGAACAACAGAGACAGCTTTTAATCTCAGTGTCAAGGCTTCAGTCTCTTGCCTCATAGAACAGATCTTCAAACATTGATCATAAAGATTTTCTAGTCATGAAATGAAAACTTATGAGAGGTACTGCTTGCCAACATGCCTTGGGTCAGACTTTTATTATTTATTCCAGTGGGCTCTTGGTCTCTTCTATCAACCTGAACTGAGAATTGATTTCTCTGGTAAATTCTCTACTTTACTCTCTTTCTGGAATTTCTACTTTTCAAACACTGGACCTCCTGGCCTTACCCTTTAGTTTTCTTATTTTTATTTCTTGTTTTTCATATCTTTGTGGAAATGTAGTCACATTTTTATCTCCAAATCTTCCCTGGAAGCTTTCATTTCCGCAATCATAATTTCCAAAAGCTCTTTTGTGCTTTGAATATTCTTTTTCTTAAAAAAACCCATTCTGTCCTTAATTCACCTTCTCTTAGTTTTCTGAGGATATTGATTATTTCTTTTGGAAGTTTTCTTCTGGTCTCTGGATTATTTCTGTTTCTTTTAAGGTTCTTTTCTTGTGTTTGATTTGTTCTCTTGGTTGCCCCTGCCTATTTCAGAAGAAGGAACTACAAAGATGACTGGAATCTGTGTGTATTTGATGGGGATTGCCCCCACGCTGGCAGCCTCCATTGTAGAGTGGCCTGGCTAGGCCTATTCACTGGGGGACACAGACTCTTGGTACTCTTGGACTAATGAGATCCCTCAGAAAAACATCCCCCAACTGGAGGGTAGGAGCCTGGCTGTCAGTGCTCTGGGAGCAGGGCATGCTGAGGGGGTTTCAAATCTCACTATTCAGAGTGGAGACTTTCACTTAATGCCTCATTTTTTAGTGTCATGCCCCTGACCCCCAGTTGTGCCAGTGTATATCTTGTCACTTTCTCCAGAGAGCACACCTCTAGGCTTCTTCAAGGATTGGGGAGGGGCAGTCACTATATAGCACTGGGTGGAGCTTTCAATAATATGTCAGTGCTACCATCACCCCACTATCAGTTGCACATGGTGATGCCAATTCTTGAGGCTTTCTAAGGTTTTTGTGATACCAATTGCATTGCATCTTGGCTTCTTACACTGCCTGCTCACATTTCGGCTTTCTCAGATCTTCCAGATCAGTTACCACTAGATTCACCTTCTCTCCATATTCTAAGTTTCTGCCCCTCCGTCTCTTCTTCTATCCTTTTTTTTATCTTTGTGGGTTTATGACTCCTTTTTGTCTAGGCATTTTTAATGCCATTTTTTGAAGCGTTTAGAGAGGGAGCAAAAGAAATCATATATATTTACTCTCTAATCTTTAACTACATCTCCCTACAGACCTTCCTATGGCATAAAAAGAAATATCAATTTTATGGCACCTTTGGTGGTCCTAGGAGTAGGTGATTAGAGCAGTCCTTCTCTACGTTCAAGCTAAGAGAATGAAAACTGCCTGAACTTTTATAGTCACCTGTAGGTGAAATTAAAGTCTTTCCTTACTTCTATAACAACCAGCAAAAGGAGAAAAATAACTTCCAAGCCCAGAAGGACTCGGTCATCTCTCTGGACAAAGAACTTTGGAAAATAGAGAAAACTTGAAGATTCCGTTATAAAAACAAGAAATTCACATGTAATTAAACATGTTCCCAGAAATCTATTTTTTGAAGAAGAGAGGTTTACGTAAGAGGACAGGGGTCCTCTAAAAGGAAACTTCTGTATAATGTAATGATTATTCTTGTCATTGGCTATTAGGTACTTTCGAAAGACATGGAATTAACGTAGCTCCCCTTTCACCAGTTTGCCAGGACAGATACAAAGAGTATTCTAGAATGCCATCTGAAAATCTCACCTCTGTGGCATTCCAGCTGTAAGCATCCCTTCTCTCTGAAATTGCCATTTTCACATGAGTAGACACAGACATTTTGCCCAACACGGCACGTCTAACTCATTACTGCAGGATGAATGATACTTTGTGATTCCTTCTTGGGGAAAAAGCTAGAACAGATGGCTTCTCAAAATTTGCTATATTACAAGGAGTCTTTGTATCCTTAGGCTTTACAAATATTAACCCCCAAAGTAATATTGATACTGAAGAGGAAGATTATTACAACCCTGGGATTTTTAAAGATATCTGCGGGCTGCAACTCTTAACTGTGCAGGGCATCTTGAAATCTTTATGATATAATAAACTGATGAATTTTTTGATACACTGATTTGACCTCTCCTCTCTGAGCTTGTTCTCTTCTCCAAATCTTTTCTACACACCATTGTGAGAGTAATTTCCTTTAAACATCATTTTCATTATATTTCTCGTCTATTTACAACCATCAATGACAATCTCTGATAGTACTAAGTATAAATGCAGCTACCTAGATTTTAAGACCTTTCTTTTTTTTTTTTTTAAAGGGTTTTTTTTAAACATTTTATTTTTTTCCTTTTTCTCCCCAAAGCCTCCCGGTACATAGTTGTATATTCTTCGTTCTGGGTCCTTCTAGTTGTGGCATGTGGGACGCTGCCTCAGCGTGGTCTGATGGGCAGTGCCATGTCCGCACCCAGGATTCTAACCAACGAAACACTGGGCCGCCTGCAGCGGAGAGCGTGAACTTAACCACTCGGCCACGGGGCCAGCCCCTTTAAGACCTTTCTTAACCCCAGATGCCCCATAGGTTGGTCTTCTCACTGTCCCAGGCCCTCATTCACTGCTCCTTTATAGGGTTCCCTTTACCTGGACTTCCTTTTCATTTATCAGTTTAATATATTTAACAGTTGATTGTGCCAGGAAGAGGGGAACAAGGCAAAGTCCCTGCCATCTAGAAAATCAAAGTCTAATGGGGGAAATAAACAAGAAAGGAGCTGAGACTGTAAGTAGATTTAAGTAGAGGGTCCCAAGGGAGTACACAGTAATGGAGTGGGAGGTATAAAATCCTGTTTTGAGAGCAGTGAAGGCTTCCCAGAGAAAAAGCTTCCAAACACTGACCAAACAAACTAGGAGGAGTTAGCCAGATGAGAAAATATGGCTAATATGGGGTGGGTGAGGAGACCCATCCTTTCAGGGAGAATATAACTTTCATTATATTCTGTCATTAAATCCCCCCTGAAGTTCAAGTTCAAGTTTTGTCTTCTCATGAGGCTTCTTTACTGGTCTCATGTTTGATATCATGGGAAAGGGACAGCCATTTTCCCTCTCACTCTCTTTTCTCCACTGGTGAGGCCCCGGGGCTCTCCTCACTTTGTCTTCTGGTGGTCCACTGACAGGAAGACAGAGCCTTGGGAGAGGAAACCCAGTCCCTGTAGGCTCGGGCCTAATTCACATGCTTCAGTCAGAATCACCAGAGACTGCACATTGGATATTATGGGCACAAACCTATAGTGGAACCTTGTTTTCTATTTGCTTTTTTGTGTATTTTTTCTAGAACCATCCCCAGGAGGAGTATCATGGATTTGCGGTGGGATCTGAGCATCCCTGGGTGCCTTAGTCAAATACTATATGATAGCACTCCCCAAACTGACATCAGACTGTAATAGTTCCTGCTCTTCCAAGCTATTTTTGAGCTAGAAACCTAGAAATAAAAGATTCATTTGTCCTATAGTGTCTTCTAATTTCCTTAAACTCTGTATTATCACGCTCCTTCTTATTAAGCACAGCGCTGTGCAGCTGTCGGCAGCAGTCATAAGAGTTCAAGGCTAGCCTGTGGTCTGCCACAAATGACGGTGGTTCATTATATATTCATTATATGGTGGTGAATGTAGAATGCAAGTTTCCAGGAGGTGACTATAGACAAAACCCAAAGTGTAGATGAAGAAAGGAAGCAGAGCACCTTTTCAAGCCTCTTCTCAGGTGGTAAAAGATTGAATCAAAAAAGGGAGAATCCATTTTATGTTAAGAAAATCTAAACAAAAGAAACAACAGAATAGGCCTTGTTTTCTCATTAGGAACATGCAATCAATTTCACTGTGCTTCAAGACATTCTGTTATCCTCTGCTTAAATCTGAGGAGCTGGGTTGTTGCTTTTCTAAAGCTAATTGTTACACCTTCCCATCTGATATGGAATCACCCAATACAGTGAAAATAGGAAGTTTATAATGTGAAAATGCCCCACGTACCCATTGAAGGGTGTACACCCATTGGCTGCACAAGTTCATTAGATCTGAGATTATACGCTTTTTTGTTAGAATTTGGTAGCACTCATTTCATTTTGACATTGTAAACACATACTTGAAAATTCCACTGTCTTTCTGAGATGTCCTAATAATTATGTATCCATTAATTTGTTTAGAAAAATTGGCCCTACAGAGTAGTCTATAATCAGCATGTTCAAAAAGTTACTGTGTGGTTCTCCCTAATTTAAAATGCAAAAGTCATATCTATAGATTCAAAGTTAGCACATGCAAAAATATGTTGGATTAAGCAAGAGTTTTGCCAAGCTCTTCTCTAGCTTGCAAGGTATAAACAATGACAACTCAAGAAAGTACCGACTGTTGTTTGGGATTATTTTGATGTCTGCTTCACATATTTCTAATTCAGGTTTCTCTTTAGCATAAGTGCCTTTATTTTAATATTGCTTATCTTCTCAGTGATATCAATTGGTGGTACTGAATTTTGACATTTTTTCCCATCATTCACTTTTCTCTGTTTCCTTAAATAATTAGGCTTATTGAATTCTCAAGTCCCCTGCTCTATGCAGGTTCACTTAGCCTGTAAGGTTCTTTCCCTTCATTTCCACATTTTCAAATTATACTCATTAGCAAGAGGAACTCGAATGTTATCAGGACATTCCATGAAATTGTCTTTCATCTGTCTATCCATATTTAATCTTTTACTCTTCTGAAATCCCTTGGCAATTTGTTTCCCCTGCTCTATGATATTTGTCACTTTGTACCTTGCACTATAGTTTTAGTGTTCATGTCTTATTTATGTAATACACTTTAGCCTCCTCAAGGATTGGGTCTATATAAAGTACATCTTATATTATCACAGTGTCTTTTAAAGTCTTCTCCATCTACGAAATTATCAACTGAAGTTTATTGAATAAGCGATGGACAGTAAAAGAAAAAGTAGAATGGTCTTTTTTAGAGGCAAATATAAGGCAAGTACACAGTGAAGGTCCCTGCCATTCTGTTTAAATCTATTCATTCTCATTTTTAGTTTCCTTTAGTTTAAGTATGATGCTTCTCAAATGGTCTTCCATAAACAGAGAGTCATTAAAGACATATCATATGAAAACATTTAACTTGCCTTTCTTGACGGGTTTGCTCCTCAGTAGTTTCCATAGCACATTCCAGAGAATTCTGGAGAGATTGTAGCTGATTCAAAGTCTCCTTCAATAAAAATCGAGTTACAAATTGTTCCAAATTGGAGGCCTCTTGGTAGTCCTGAGGATGACAAAACAAATGCAATTAGAAATATGTTAGGGAAAAATAGCCAGGAATAGTTTTTTCCCCATGTACCCATCAATCTCAGATTAATCCTCAAGAAGGAGAGACAAAGAGGAGAGAAGACATGTTGGGCCCTTGAGACTGGGGCAGAGCTCTATCCACCCAACAGAAGTTGAATAAAAGAGCTACAGAAACACCTGGAATATCTCATCTCCCATTACATCTGCCTCAAGATTAGAAAAAAGGACAAAAAGTAAAATTATGGAATAGACATCTGTAGAGAAAGGGAAAAAATATCTGGAAAAAAGGAATGTGGCTAACTCAGGGTTTGTTCTGTGTTTCATTTAAACGATGACCACACCATCATGTATTTTCTCCATTACCAGCTAAAGGCAGTCATGTTTCAGTAACTGGCTTAATTCCCTCTTGATGTCTTTATTATGCCTAATCTGTGTTATGCTGAAGCCAAAAGAAATTACATGATGTTATGTCAAAATTTAGAAAATGTTAGGCTTGGAATATTTAAACAGTTTACTAAATCTGCTTATGTCCCTTCCTCAGGAACTCTACCTGATGCTCATTTGCATCTAACTTTTAGTACCACACCTCAGCTAGAAAAGCATAATTCATTCACACAGCCCTAGGCCTACATGGAGATCATCACAAACTTAACAGCTACACTTGCCAAGCTTTTTATAGGTAGACAGGTGGGTTGTGGATGGTGTTCTCTGCTGCTCTTGTCCTCTAAAGTCTCAAGGAGAACCAAGAAAAAAGAAAACCAGGTTGGCATGGAATGAGATATTGCCAGAACCACTCTTTCAGGTCATGGAACCAGCCAACTAAACCTGATTTTCTAGAGTCTTGTGTGAGCTCAGTAGATACAAGTTCAGCCAAAGAAATGATTTATTTGGCTCCATCCCTAAACAAAATGATTTTTTCATGGTTGACAATACAAAACTGAAAGGAGTGATGGTGACAAGATAATACCAGAGACACAATGTGCTGGGGAACAAACAAGATTTCATTATTTAACCTTTCTGGGTCCCTGCTTTCTCGCTTAGAAATCAGACTAAGCAACTCTTGCATACATTCCAACTCAAAAATGTTCTGTGTTCTATCAACTCTGAATTAGGAAATACTGGACTTGTGGACTCCTAATATAAATTACTTCGAAGTTTTTCTCCTTTTAGTAGGACAACCTAATGTCATAGAAACCTCATTTCTTTCCTAATTTGAAATAATAAAAGGTTTCAATCATCTGATTCTTTTTAAGACCATTCTTTGCAGGTGAACAACACAGGAAATTTTCTCATCATCTCATTCAAAAATTAAAAATTTTAATGTCCTTAAAATCCACCTAACAAACTAACCATAAAACAAAACATTACATGCTCATAATGATGATAAGGATTTTTGGTGAATTAACTGAAAGTCTAAAATATATACAAAAATATTTAATTTGATCAAATTGCTTGCTAATTAGTGGCTATAAAAGCTTCAAAAATTGTTTCTCAGTATGTTTTCTAAAACTGAGTAAAGCTTTCAAGATGAAAAGAAAATGTAATGATAGAAAAAGAGGTGTGTTTGGTCCGTTCCCCATAGTTATTCCATTTTGCTAAAGCATATTTTTAAAATAAAATTTATTAAAATGATGAGAAGATGTAATTGTAGTCAGAGATCATGCATCTCAGTATACACTGCAACTGATCTAAAGGAAATTATAACAGTTTACACCTATTTGTAGACAGCATAGAAAAGTAAAGGAAGCATACATTTACTGAGCAATGCAGCATCACATTGGCCTTATTCTTCTCCCATTTAAATGCTAAACATTTGTCATGTCAGAACTATAGAAAAGGGTTTTTGTTTTTTTTTTTGCGTTCTCTAGTGTAAACACTGGTCACTGCGATTAGGTTTTAGCTTCTTAGACACAAAGGTCATGCCTTGTACTTCTGTATGCCTCATGGTGCCCAGATCAGATACTCATGCAATCTTCAGTTATTTGCAGATAAACTCCTAACTAAGAATTTATTGAATTTGCTACTGTGGTCTTACACATAAAGATTTTGGTGACGTTAGATACTTTAGTTAAAATCAGACAACTGGCTACTCCATCATTGTACTATCATAGCAAATTAAGAAATTATTATTATGCTGATACTCACTTCTTACTCTGATGAGAGCGTCTTACCCTCAGTAGTAACTCTCTAGGTAACATGAAGAGATGGCACAACTCAGCTGGTACATTTGACAGAAATGTTGATGCCTTGACATTGACAAGGGTGGTGGGTACGTTTAAGGCTCTAGGGGATTAAGTTTCTTGAGTCAGTTATGAAGATTTGCTGTTATGTGCTGCCCTTTGATGAAAGGAAAGGAAAGAGCTTGTTTTCTCACATTCCTATTTACCCTTCTCAGCTCATGGCATCATCTACGTGCAGCCTTTCCTCTCCTTGAACTACCACTTCTCTTCACAGGATTAGGCATGCTTCCTTTCCCTTTCACGTGTTCCTGTAACACCTTTTCCCCACCTAGGAGATAGAATTTATAATTTTATATTGTAATCTGTTGTTTACTTGTTTATCTCCCCCATCCTAGGCCAGCTCTTCATAGGTAGAGACTATGTCTTAATCATCTCTGCCTCTAGAATGCCCAGAACAAAGCCTGGCTCATAGCAGCTGCATCATAAATGCTTAAAGAGTACATGAGCAACAGAGAACCACCTGGAGATTCAGGCACCAGAGGGCATGTCTGAGCTCTGGGAACTGTTCTTGCCTTTTGCCAGTCCCTAGCTGCCTCTCCTTCCATCTAGCCCTTGCTGGTAGTAGACAGCTGTCCAGCTTGCCCGGTCATGTGGGCTCTGCAATAAAGGGAAATACAGCTTTGTTCTTAACTGATGGTTTGTTATTTCATTTTCTAGAACATTTGTTAGTCTTCTTCCCTTCCCTTATCCTGGATCCCAAAGTTTAGGACTGTAGACCCAGGCGGCATAGATCCAATCTCTCTTTCCTTCTCTCAGATATGCAGCAGATGTTCCTTTGGAAGGCAGTGGCAAAAAAAGCAGATGGAAAATTAAATAGATAACAAGCTGGAAAATGTCAAAGCCTAACCCTTTTTATTCTCAACAAATGTGTTGGTTGTGAAGGTATAAAAACGGATCTTTGCATACTCAACTCCCAGAAGATTGGTACTATGTTGGTTTAAGGCACATGTTCCTTTGAGCAAAACCCAGAATTTGACAGAGTGGCAGAAAGAACTTCTATTGGTCTAATAAAGCAGTTTAAAAAAAAACGTACCTGATATCCAGATTCTGCCTCTTTTTTCCAACATATTTAGTCCTTCTTGTCTATTAGAAAGAATATGGGCAAATGAAGGCTAATAGTATGTTTCTCAGATCCCAAAAATGTTCATTCAAGTCACTGATAATTGGCAGTTAAATTAATCATTAACTGGAAATTCTTAACCAAGTAGCATTAATGTTTCCATTTATGCCTTTGGAAAGCCAGAATGTAAACATTTCAATCCACATATTTCCTTTGTGTGGAGCTTGAATACAGCTAGGATTCATTCAAGTAAAAACTCTACCATTAGAATCATAGTGCTTTGAAAATCACTAAGTTCTTAGGGAACTGCCTGTGCATCTTAATTGTCAGATCCTTTCTCCGAAAGTGAGCCCTTGCCCATCTGGATGATGGAAGAGTAGAGATCTTAGCTATTAACCCACTATGGATCACCTGAGTTGATTAGGAAAATTAGCGCATCAGTCTTCCCTGTTTGTATTTGCCCTATTTGAAAATTAATCAAGTCAGTGACATCCAGTCTCAGTGTCTTCTTGTTGATGAGATCAGATACAATCACACTTAGCAGGGGGTACTGTTCTGCCTGCCTTTGATCTAAGCCCCTGCAGCTCTCTGTTCCTGTGTGAGACATCTGTGCGGCTTCTGTAAGAGGAAAGTATGCACTTTTACAAAGGTACAATTGTCTTTTTCTCTTTTTCTACTCTCTCTAAAACCGTTATGTTTTTGTACTAACTGGCTTACACTATATTATCTATGTCCTATTTTATTAAATGTTCTTAGGCTTTCATTTTAAATGACACTTTTTTTTTTTAAACGGGGAGAACAGTATATCAAGTTTAAGCCTTAAAAAAAATAAAGAACTGATCCTTAATTAAGAATCTTAAAAATGGACTGAGGTTAATTCCAGATAGGTCTTCGGCAATCTTAGACGGCAAAACAAGAGGTTAAAATATTTTCAAAGTGCAGATTCCCAAAGATTAAGGGACTTGTAGATTTTCAGGTTAGTTAAAGAGGAAACAAGGTTCTAATTTTAGAATAAAATGTTATTAAATAACCAATAAATTTAAATAATTTCTATGCCCTATCTTAACTAAATATTTGGTAGCTTGAAATGAGAAATTATTTTAGAAATGAGTTATATTATTTAAGACCTTTACACTGACAAACTCCACTGTAAAGGGTGATCCTGGAGTTTAAAATGCATTTAAAGATTTAAATCTTTTTTAAAACATTTTTAATTTTTTTAACATTTTACTTGTCCTTTTTCTCCCCGAAGCCCCCCAGTACATAGTTGTGGATTTTTTTTTTCTTAGTTGTAGGTCCTTCTAGTTGTGGCATGTGGGACGCCACCTTAACATGGCCTGATGAGCTGTGCCATGTCCGTGCCCAGGACTGGAACCAGTGAAACCCTGGGCCGCCGAAGCAGAGCGCGCCAACTTAACCACCCGGCCATGGGGCTGGGCCCTTAAATCTTAAATAAATCAATCTTAGAGATTTAAATCTTAAGTAAAGATTCTTGAATGTCTTTATCCAAAGAATAATCCTATTCTACTGGGAAGTAATCCTCGTTAAACAAGTAAAATTTCAGGAAAATACATATGAGTATGAAGATGGGTACATATATGGAGTCAGCCCAAATTTGGAGAATAATAGTTAAGGGATGAAGACTCGGATTACACTTATCTACATCTAAAACAGAGT